CTATTGAATCTGTGACTTAATTAAGTGGGATGATATATGATCAATTTCAATATTAAGAAATAAATTTTGAAATTTCACGTGTTATCTGTGACCATACCTGTGTTATATGTGACCAATTCACTGACTTATGTTATTTGAGAATCATCGTGACTAACTTTGCCTTTGATGTGACTAATTGTGACCAAATTTGTATTCATTGTGACTTTCTGTGACCAGATCAATCCCAAGTCACAACCGGTCACAATTAATACAAAATTGGTAACGAACAGTCACAACCAGATCTCGAACATAAAAAACCAGCTCTCCAACCACCACAGCAGATTTGTTCGGAAAAATAATAACCACCACCACTACTAATATTTTTAACTCAAATTGATGACCATAAATACTACATTCACCTCAAATCCACGATAATCATCATTACCATAACTTCCACCAAAACTTCAAAAAAAGTCAACCAGCACCACCACACTTCTCTCGTGAAACTCCTATGAGAGAAGTGGTAGGTGGTTGAAATCTAGAGGGTGGGTGGGAAAGAAGTCGTAGATCTAATTTTTGGGTAAGAGAGTGCCAAACTAATTTTTGGGGGGAAGAAATAGAGTGTGTGGGTTAAAAATTGATACAAGATTTGGAGTAAATTGATATGAGGTTTGTGACCAAGTTTGTATTTAATGTGACTGTCTGTAACTAGATCAATTTTAAGTCACAACCGGTCAAAATCAACACAAAATAGGTCACAAACAGTCACAACCAGATCTCAAACAAAAAAACTAGATCTCCAACAACCATGGCAGATCTGTTCGAAAAAATAATAACCATCACCACTACTATCATCTTTAACTCAAATCTACAACAACAATCATCACTACCATAACTTTCATCAACACTTTCAAAAAAATCAACCAATTGAATCAAAATTAGAAGAACGGGCGCACACAATCAAATCAAAATTTTGGTTCGACTGATAGAAACTCATGGCTGTAGTAGTGGCGGAATGGGGGTGGTAAAGTCAAGATTGTAGATTTGTCGTGAAGGGTCCCATCAATGGCGCCTGACTTTGAAATTTTTGAGATTTATAATTTCGGAATCTTCAATTTTTATCAATCCTTGGAAGATGCTAGAGAAGGAAGAAGAGAGAGAAAAAGTTTAATTTGAGTGGGTGAGTGATTTTGGCTGGGGAAGTTATAAAACGTTTTCTATTATTAACTATGTATTAATTAATTTAATAATTTCTAATTACCATCTGATTTGTGAAATGAAAATTAATTCCCTTTATTTCTAAAAACTATTGTTTAAAAATAGGTTTTCGGGTAATTTTCTCTTAAAAAAATCTTTGATTGGAGCTTTGGGCTCTTGGGCTTCCTTGATTAAAATAATTTTTTATTTTAATTTTTAATTTTTGAAATTATTTAATGGGTCAAATTAGCCAATATTTTGTGACCGTTTTTAACAACCCACTACTCACAAAGTTATTAAAATTCTGAATAATTCTCTGATCAAGAAGGAGACAGTTACATTTAGTTTTTCTATATAAACTCATGTCTTGGTTTGAAAAAAACACACATGAAAGAAAAAGGAAAATCGTTTGAAACGAAATCTTATTTTTCATATTCTAAATTTTTTATACTCGAGTTTTTACTTATATTCTGGAGTACATTTGAGAGTCTTGAAAACCATTCATGATTACTGCACAAGTAATTTATGATCGTTGTATCCCGAGATTGATTGTCCACGGAAGTCGCAGTAGTTATCGACAGGCAATTTCACTTTAGAATATCGTGCTGTCACGAAACTCGATTAGACGATAAATTTTATTTCTGAATTTTATTATTCTGCACGTTACTGCAACTGATTATTTTTCTAAAAATATTCACGTATGAAATAACTGTGCATGTCTAATTATCAAGAGACGCCACTCTAACTTAAGATATCATATTCACATATGTACTTCTTAACTGTTCCATACTCCAATATGATAAATCCATTTATTTATGAATTAATCTATTTGTACAATTGTTGTTGACATTAATGGATGATAACATTGTTATTATCAAAATCTGGTCTATTAATTTTAAAAATAGTTTTTGAAATGGATGAATGTAATGTTGACAAATATGATTGTCAACCAATATTGTAAAAAATGATTGTACAAGTAGCATGACTCTTTATAAAATCGATTACTAGCTCTTTTTCTACCTTTGATCGTTCGGTGATCACGATTCTATCTTGTAAATTTTGCAGTACTATCAAGTTCACAAAATGGAACAATTTCCAACGTCTGTCATACTTATCTCCACATCGATTCACAAATCTCAGCACACAGTTTGATGGCCCCACTTAACAAATCCCTAATTACCAAATGAAAGAAATTTCTATATTCATGATCAAAGTTGAGACTGGGAGCTTTGTACCTCTTGATCAGTCATAGCATCTGTCTGGTAGTTGAGTGACATGAAAATCGAAAAAAAAAAGTTCAATGACAAAAAGTGAAAATTACCATGCATGCAACTTGTTGGAGGGACCTTTCTTAAAGCGAAAGAAGTTAGATGTTTTGGCCCTACTCGCATGTGGGCTCGTCTACCAATTCTCTGTCTGCTTTCATAAATGTCGCATTTTTTTTCTAGTAAAGTAGACATCCGTTCTCATTGATCATGACCCATAGAAACTAGATTATGTATTAACCTTGGTATACACATTTACGTTCGATAATTCCAGTGACTTTCACTTCAACACGTCTCACTAGTGAGCACTTCCAAATGCGTTGGCCACACGTCCTAGCATAGCCTTTACTGCAGAAATATCCACGATAGATTCAGTGCACTTGACATACCTTTTCTTATTTCGTACGCCAGTTTCTTAATAAAAGTCTTTTAGTTTGACCTTAAAACAGAAAGTTGAGTAACGTTTGAATAAGATGAGCATTCGAACAATTTTCATCACTTTGGATATTGTAAGGCAAAGAGTTTATATTAAAATTGAGATTTTTTTTACAACGTAAGATCAAAGTTAAAGGTAATTAAGCATCTCATATTTGAGACAAATGATTTAAGATTCTCAATTACGTTTGCTGAGTTTAAAATAGTAACATTTTTGTTTCGAATGAAAAGTTACTTTCTTTTTTGTTTTTTATTCAACTTTTATTATAAAATATTAGCTTATTTTAAAAGTAAATTCTTTACAAGGTTTGGGTTGTAACTAACCTCTAGAAAGTAAAATATTAAAATGGGAACACGTCACATTAAAAAAAAAATAAGACAATGCATGTTTGGGTGGCGTCTAGACATTTTCCAATTTGACTTATTGTCCAAGCACTAAAAGGCCCTTTGAGATATCATTGTTCTTAACCAAATTTGTGTTGGTGCCAACTATTACGAATATAATTTATACCATTCAAACTTTGCTTTTTCAAGATTTTCTACTACACATTCTTATCTACCTTAGCATAAATCACGGTAGAGTGGAGTTCGGAAAATTCACATTAGAACCACGAGAGAAATAAAAAATCGAGCCTACCAATAACAATCATCGAATCTTTTGAACCTTCAATTCTCTTTGAGATGAGAACCGTGCTTGCTATATAGACTAGGCCGAGTTAATTAAAGACTGACTACGTATTCTCAACATCAATTTCAATACATAAAAAAAATCTCAATACTATTGACTGCTCAATACTAAACTTTACCTGCAAGTAAAGTAGAAACGAAATGTTCTTGATGGAACGCATTACAGATGATCAGGCACCGAACACTTTTAATTAATCATAAACAAATGTAACGTCTTCTTCTTGGCAACGTTGTTATAAATTTAGTTTCAAAAAGTCTTTCTTGACAACCTAATCATTGGTATCAGCAACTGCACCAAATATATATATATATATATATATATACACTTTATGTAATAAATATGTAGTGGAAATATCTATAGTGTTCGTGCAAATTATTTGGTAAATAGATATAGTCATTGAGGAATATTTTATTATAATTTCATATTAATTTTATTAACATCTTTATTACGTTATGTTTTATCATATTTAATCTTAACTAGCTCTCAAATATATCTGAAATGTACTCACGTCGTTTCAACGTGTTGTGCGTTATGATGAATTCTTTTATCGTATTTTATTTTACCAAGGTCAAGCTTCGTTTCTCTCATACTAGGGCTCGTTTGATAAGGTTTTTAAGAAATCAAAAACTTCTTCTAAAACTAAGAAATTATTTTTTAACTTGTTTGAATAATTTTTTAGAAGTGTTTTATTTGACTAAAATAACTTTTAGAAAAATCGAACATAAGATAATTTTCTCTGGAAGTTCTTCTTCAAAAACCAAAAATCGTGCCAAATGAACTCTTTAACTATGATGCACTTTTATTTTAATTTTGTTTTGAAAATCTAGTAGGAGTCCATTCTAAACACCATCCGAAACTTAAAAAAAAAAAAAAAAAAAAATCCTTTGTGAATGAGCACGATCGACTTATGTGTCAACACAAAACATAAAATTTAATGTAATTGATATTTTTCATATTATAGAAATAAAATAATATCTTTTAATGCGATGTTTTTCATATGATACCCTGTTTTGTTTTGTTTTGTTAAAAATTAATTTTTTTGATAAATTTTGATGAAAATTGACTAAATATATGGTTAAAATTTTGATAAAATAGTTAATTTCATAAAATATATATGTAATTATATTAATTATTTATTTTTTAGTATATTTTGATAAAATTTGATTAGATATATAATTGAAAATGAAATAAAAGTTGTGGATAAAAAAAAAAAGAAAAAGTGTATTTGTTTGGTGAAATAAATTTTAAGAAATGACGGCCAAACAAGAACTAAGAATGACACGCAACATAAATCATTGTAATGGAAGAAAGAAAGAGTAAAACTAATTTAAGTAATTAATTTTTATCATCAAGAATATTACGTAATACAATCTTTTCTTACTCTCAAGTGAAACGAATTACTTTTTTCCAAAATAATTATAAGTTCATTGTCAAAATAAATTAACTCCCTTGTACAAATTCTTCCATTCAATCTTTTACATACATATATACATACATAAAAACCTTAAACAAATATTAAATATATAAATTTCAAATTAAACCCAATAATTAAGCCATACCTTAATTAAGATTAGCCATGTAAAAATGGGTTAATCAACACTCACTACTCACAATTCAATGGGAAAGACATATCTCAATTTGTTTATCTTCTACACCGCAAATCACTCAGTGAAAAAAAAAATAAAAAAAAATTACATCAATATATACCCATTCACCCTGCAGTAAATTTTTCAACATGCATAGAACTCCACCAACTCCTCCAGTGACTCCGGCTGAGGATCACCATTTTCAAGCATCCACAGCAAGTGTTCAAACATCACAACTTCACATCCAACGGTGATCGTGTCCTCTCCGTCGCCGGAATGTTCCACGAGTTCCCGGAACAGAGGATTGTCCAACAAGTCGGAAGTGATCATATAGCGCCGCCGTGACTTGCCGACGTAGACAGGGTGGAGATTTTTGGCATACGAGCACTCATCATCAGAGAAGTTGTTGGTGGCAACAATAGAGCTGCTGCTGCTGGCACGGCTAAGCTTAAAAGACTGCATTTTCTTCAGCACTGATTTCAGCTTTGTGAGTTTGCCTCCCTTAGCCATTTTTTTGGGGGATTGAGATTTGAGAGATGATTTTGGGCTTTTGGGAAGGTTGGGAATGAAGAAGGAAGGTTCTTTATTTAAAGAGGGTTAGGGTGGGATGGGGTGGGGTGGGTGACTGTGTGTGGAAGTGAATGTAAAAGGAATTGGACAGGGTTATACTGAAATGCATTGAACGGTTATACAGTTGTAAGGAGGTGGAAGATAGTAGCCATTTGATTAGGACAAAACCATTTGCGGTATAGTGCAATTCTGTATAAAAGTATATTGACGAATTTGTCATTGTTCCTTGTAGACAGATTATAGACAGTCGATTTCACTTGAGGATAAAAATGGAAATTTTCCTATCCAATAATTGCATGTTTAAAAGGATTGAACCCCAACCTTGAGCGTCCCATCATCCCGTTTATGATGTTTATATTATATATATGTAGGTTAATTACATTTAATCATTGGAGTTTAATGGTCATTTGGTTAGAAATATTAACGATAAACTCTACCACGCCGTTAAAGATTAAGGGAGTGTTACTATAAGAAGATAACGTTAGTGGTCATTGGTGCAAGTACTCAAAACTTCAGTGACCATTAATGTAATTAACCCTTATAAGGAAGTTATATTCATAACCGGAATTGATTTCCTATGTAGCTAAGCTCCGGATAACGTGGTACAATACAATAGGTGGTGATATGCTAAGTACCGATCTTAAGAGATCGGTCCTGACATTATAATTGCATCAAAGAAGATAAAATTCTCAAAACGTATACAAGAGGGTTGCTTTACAAACAAACAGTTCAAGATGTTTTACACAATCTACATATTATTTTCAAAAAATTTGGAAATGAAATCTAAATATTTCTACAAATGGTATTAATTTTAGTATACATCATAGAAAATAAGCTATTTTGCTTAAAAATTTTAATTTTCTTCTAGCTCAATTTTTTTCATTTTGTCCTCAAATTTCTTAACTAATACAATGGTTCGTACCAAAACCTATTTGTGTTCTAGATATGTCATTTCACACGTATGCATACACTTTTTTCTAAACACTTAACATGTGCACGACAGCAATAAGTCAATTGATACAAGTTAAATATTTAAATGCAATAATTTAACATGGAAATGAAGATAGCAATTCTTCCTTAAATCCATTATTTACGCCCGGTTTGGTACTCATTTATTTCAAAATATATTTTTTTTCTCTCTTCTTTTCAACCACACATTCTTTATTAAAATAATATTACACGTAAATTTAAAAAAATTCCTATTTTTAAACCCCACATTTTCCATCAATTTACCATTCTAAAATGCATTTTTACATAAAAATGGTTCCTAAACACCATATTAACAACATACATTATAAGAATCGAACTAAATTTGTTGGTTCAATCGGGGAAAAAAATTCGGTTGAAAATGAATTTTGAGAATAATGGCTCAAAAGACCTTAATTACAAATTCATTGATTTATTAGCAAGTCTAATCCAAATTGTAACGATCAATTTCGGTGCTTGGGACCCATGTCCAGCTCGAATGGCACTTGACCTTTGTTTAAAAAAATAAAAATAAAAAAGAATTAGAAAAATAAATCTAATTTAATTAAATTAACAATGTCAATGTCTTTATTGATAGCCACTCCAGCATCAATCAACAACTATAAATAAAATATGAAATAGAAGTTTTCTTTCTTTTTTTCAAAGAATTTTGATTTGAAAGCGACAGACATGTGCAAGGAAGTTTGTCGTAATTTGAACATTCATATTTTAATCAAGGATTAGGAATTACAAATAATAAAATAATAATAAATATTATTATTTTTGTTTGGCATATAGCAATTAACATACGTGTGGTATCATTTGTTCGACTTCATGTCTTATTATGTTAGTTCATAGATGGCCAAAATTTTCAATAATTCATCAAACGCAATCATTTAGATTAGACGACGTTAAGCAATAGGGCTATGTGATATATATATATATATATATTTTTTTAAGTCGTGTTTATTCGGATTAGTATATGATAACAAATATGCTATCTATATTCGATGAAATTCAACAATTTTTTTGTGGTCGACTTTATAAGAAGTGTGTTTTCATATTCATAATCCTTTGTCGTAATAGGTACAAGTAAATGTGTTAGTCGGGCACGTCACTTGTCCTAACACGTTTTTTTTTTTTTTTTTAATTGTTCGCTATTTGTTTTTATCCGAAAAATTAAGAATATGGAGTATACGGTATATTTTTTTATGAATATATCATTACAATGTAGGAGTGGCTTGAAACGTGAACGAATAACAAGCTTTAGAATTAAGTGATTACAACAGTATCATGAATTAAAGAATCAAATATTCATTGATTCGTCGCGAATTACCAAATATGTGGTTTTGATCTCATTATTCCTACTAATATAGACTTTGGATGGGGAAAAAATAGAAATCTCTCCAAATTCTATTAATATTTTAATCGAACAAATTCAACTAAAAAGCTACTTTTTGTGCTTGTGGCTAAAATTTAACACCCTATTGCAAGACTAATTAAAATTTCACCACTAGCCAATTAACTCATAACAAACTATAAATTTGATTCCAATTAATTAAATTGATAAGTACTAAAATTCATTAAATCAAGCCTTGAGCCAGAATCTACATCACATATCAGGATTAATTAATTAAAATTATATGTTTATAGTGCAATTAAAACTAATAAAATTATATTTCAAATCAAAGGAATAACTAAAATATTAGACTACACCAAGAGCAAACAAATTAACCTCGTAATGAAATTTATTCATACAAAATTTAGTATAAATTTAGTATAAATCCATTATTTCAAATTATAAAGAAAGGAATAATAATTTTTTTTGAAAATGTGTGGTTAAGAAGGGAGGAAAAGTTTTTAGATTTACGTGTAATATTATTTTATTGGGGAATGTGTGGTTGATAAGAAGAATTAAAAAATAAATTTTAATTTAATGTGGACCAAACAAATACGTCAATGGTCACTGAAGTATTGAATTGTTTTGCAAATGGACATTGAAATTATTTTCTTATGGTAATATTCACTTAAGTTTCTATTTGTTACATTAATGGTAATTAATCAAAATAAAATAAAACGTAACATTAAATCCTGTGACACCATTAAGTGTCATTTGGTACAATTGAGTGTTACCGTGTCACCAAATAATATTATTTATTATGCCATGTCAAACCGTTATTTACAAAAATGTGGCTTGCTACCTGATTTAAGGAAAAAATAAAATAAAATAAATTGTCTAGAGTTAAAATCTTATTACATTTGCTCAACTGAAATTTGATTAATCCTCAATACGTAACTCCTCAATTTTGTTGACTTAGCATAATAATAACGCCGTTTTATGATAAGTAGACATTTAGTGGTGTCAAGTAGGATTTAAAGTTATTTTTTATGACCCATTGACCATTATTGTAAGAGTTAAAAGATTAAGCGAGCACGCACAACTACTTCAATATGCATTCTTGTTAATGCACCTCGAGGACGTGAAATATGTACATCGAATTGAGATTTGACGGAGTAAATAGATTGACTACTACTCGGAATGCGGTAATCGTGTTAGGCGTGACAGGTGAGGCCTCCGATAGCCGTGATAATCTTTTCACCCCTCTCAATCAATGCAGATAAATGCATGATTAAAGGTAATCTTGTTACTAATGGGAGTTTTGAATCAAACATAAATTCTGCTGAATCGCTGATGGATTTATATTGATATATAACCTTAATTTCTTTGAAGCTTTCTAACAATTAGCCAATGAACAGATGGAGGGTGCTTTTGATCAATTGCAAACTGCTGTTAGAATGATGTTTCTTCCAATGAATGATGACATGCGAGAACAAGTTCGAACAGTTACTTTCAATAAATTTCGACAAGAAGGCTGTGAACTAGTAGGCCATTTTGCTCAAATGGAACGATGTTGACCACACAACATGTCTATTTGCAAATAGTCGGAGAAGAAAAATATCGTAACGAATTTGCTGATGTACAAATTGAATTATCGTCATTTAGAGATATATGATGAAGATCATTATAAGATTCAAGATTTTATTTATCTAATTGTGTCATTTTAATTAGTTAGGATCAATTTATAGTTTGTTAGGACTTAAATGACTGATGGTGCAATTTTTATTATGTTTGAATTACGATATTATATTTCAGTGGCAAACAATGGTTTTTTGGTGTATTTTGTTTAATATTATTATTTTTTTAATAGAATTCCAAAATCAGTATTTGTGGGAATAAAACGAATATTTGATTTTTACATTCCTTGTATTTTTATAATCAACACGTTTTAGATTCGTTCTTCGTCCACATTTATTTCACGCTTATATCAACACGTTTTACATTCCTTCCACATGCATTTGTCGACGGTCGACGTGCATTGAGAACTTATGTTAGAATATGATCGTTTTAGCTGGTGTGTGTGTGTATATATATATATATGTCAATAGGCATATGTATTTTTAATTTGAGTCCTAAAATTTTTTATAACGGTAAATTATAAAAAAGAAAAAGTGTGTGTGTGTATATATATATATATATATATGTCAAATTAGGCATATGTATTTTTAATTTGAGTCCTAAAATTTTTTATAACGGTAAATTATAAAAAAGAAAAAGTTAACTTTTTCTTCTTTTTTTTATTTGTTAAGTCAAAGCACAGCGAAGATCATCGGAATTTCTTTTAGATAACTGAAAATACAGTTTGACTCAAAGGATCAGTAAGGACTAATTAATAATTAACATTCTACTTAATGAATTCTTGAATATTAGGAAAAATGAAAATAGCACTTACTGAGAAATTATACTTTGCCAAGTCAAAGTCTTAAAGGGATTGACTTTTTGGGCGACTAGTTGACTCTACTATCTATAGTAAGATGGAAAAACTATTAATGGATCCTACACTTACCATAATTCCACTAGAAACATTAGTCATTACCTACTTAAGAAAAATATTTCCAACTCTTCATCATTATCGCTCGTGTTGGTACATGTTGAAAACAACATCATAACTTTAAGCAACAATGACAATTACTTGCACCTATTTTTGAGACGAGTAATGCTATTTAGCATTATTAGTATTTAGGGAC